TTCCTGTTGAACACAAATTCTGACCCCCCCCCCCCACACACACACACACACACACACAAACACACACTAAAAATAGACTGTGATATTTGCTGCAGCCAGATGCTCCATCATATAAAGCCTCTCTGTGGCTGTTACAACAATGAAAAATAGAGTTTTTAATGTTTCAAATAAGTTTAAAAGTTTCTTTTCATGAACTGTTTAAAAGGTTTCACAGAACGAGACGTTTGGAAATGCAGGGGAAAAGTTTGCAGAGCAGAGAAAGACAGATCAGGTCAGCTTAAATAAAAATCACTTTTAAATTGGAGATTCTTTTTTTAAACATTTAATCGTTCAATTTTTGGTCACAGATTTACATGAACTTGTGACATTTTCCTGTTACGTGACGATTTATCTCGTTCTGATCTGTGATGTATTTCTATCTAAAATTCAAATAAAGGTTATCAAAAAACGTATTTTTGTGTCATGGCTGCAACAGACTGATGCACTGGGGTGGAGAAAAGATGACAATGATGATGTAATGATGATGATGTACTTTATTGCAGACTGGTTAATACATAAAAACAGGCTAGAACAGAAAGAGACACATTAAAAATAATATAAAAATACAAGACTTAAAGTGTTTTTGAACTATGCCAAATGGGAAAAAAAACTTTAATTTGTCTTTTAATTGTGTGTGTGTGTGGGGGGGGGGGGGGGGTGGTACAGTTTTGATTAGTCACTGTGATCTTCTGACTTCATACATACCGTCAGACAGCTTGTTCATTTACAGCTTTTAATCAATATAATCCCACCACCACACCTCGCCCCCCGACCAGGCCCATCTGTCAGGGACAACTTTGGGACGTTCCCTCCTCAGACTCTGAGTTCACATCCAAACCAACAAATACATAAAGATGCAAGAATCGTTACAAACCAGTTATTTTACTGGTCCAGGTGAATGTGTTATTTAAAAAAGAACAGTTGATGGAGGAAAGTAATTTTCAGTTCAGCCATTTGTCAGTTTCAGCTGCAGGAACATGATGGCACTGCTCCTTTTTTTAGCACCAAAATATATAAAATCCCTTAAATATTTTTTGACTCTTCTAATTTTACCTGCATTATTGCATCCTTATTGTAAATCTGCAATAAATAAATAAATCCTTACAAATTATCTAAAAAAAACCAAAACATATTATTGGATTTAAATGATTAAATGTGCTGATGTCAGCTGAACAAGTTGAACTATGGGCAAATAATTAATTTAAATGACAATATTCTGAAATGTTTTTATTGTTTTTATTAAAATCTTATTTTTGACACCTTTTAGTTAAAAAAATATATTTTAGCATGACAATAATTACAATCTGTCTTTACTTCATGCGTTATTTATCAGGTTTAAATAAGCTAAAAAAGCCCCCTCTCTGCAGAGCTTTGCACTGATTAGTGAAACTTCTCTGCCCCCCCACCCCCACCCTTGCACGCGCTGCACTGACCCCTCCCTCAGTGACTGACAGTCTACACTGGGGGGTGTCAACGCCGCAGAGCTGAGAAGCGGGCCTGCAGCCACCGGCCCCACCATCAACCATCAGAGCAGAACCTCAGCTGGTGGGTTCCACTTGCGCCTGTTTGCAGCTCGTGCGCAAAGCCTGTGCGCCAAGCCGCACGCTGACATGTTTTAAGCACCGCTCTGACCCAATCTGGAGGATTTTTTTGGGGAAGAAGTTCGATTTTGATTTATAAAAGAATCAGATTACAAACTTGATTGTAGAGAAAACATTCTAATTCTAATCCGTGGGGATTGAGCGGCTGCGCTAGGATGCGCAGAATGCGCTGCCTCGGGTCGGGATTGTGGAGAAGTGTTTAAAATGGACCTGCAGAGGAGAGACGTGCGGCTGCGGCTGGATGGAGAGCAGCGGAGGGCTCGGACCGGCCGCACTTTGTCGCCTCCTGGTGGTCAAACTGTGTCAGCGTCAAATGTGGAGCAGAGGGGGAAGCACCCGGTGAGGCTTCATCTATAATAAT